GTCCCCCCCCCCAACCTCCCCACTCTTTTCGTCACTTTGGTCTAAGTCCTCGAGGCGGAGAGAAAGGAACCAGAGTGATGGACGGCTACCTATGGCGTTGCCATGTGGCCTCGGTCACGTGGGTTCGTGACGTAAGGGGTAAAAGAATCTTGAGGTCATGGGGCTTCCCCTGACCTAGATTCTATCTCTCCATCACCGGCAGAATCGCTGATTAATGCCGACAGTTTAAAATAGTCATTTTGACTGACCGGAGTCTATGGTGGGTATGAACTATGTGAATAGGCGGGTTCGGAGAACCCTCGCCTAATTCTGTCATAATCACGCTATTCCCTGGTCATTCCATGTCCTCTTTTGTAATATTGATTCCCCAGAGTACCGGTAGATGTGACCACAACTTGGTGTCAGTGCCATTCGAAAGCCACCTGTTTAGTAAAAACCCAAGTAGTTAGCCAATTCATTATTGGCTGCCCAAATACTTCTGAGACTTGCTGTAAATCTTTCTAATGTTCTTGGAAGATATGTTATACACAAGATTTATAAAATAATTATTACTGTGTATTACAATGTGGCACACATGACACATTAAAGAAATAATGTTGTTTATTTTGCCATTTTGAGCTACACCAGCTGGACTACTATTGACAAAGCAATACACTGTGACCAGGTGACATATAACACCATTTCAATAGTTTGTATTCTGATAAAATAGTTACAAAAATGACATACTTACATTGTGAATGATGTTATTCCAAGCAAATCAAATCAAGCATTTTATTCTATTCTACTCAAAGCATTGCAAATGACTGGCTTGAAATATCAGACAGGATTCTGCTGCATCGCAATAAGATTGAAGTTTTAAAAGAAGCCGTCTGGAAAGCAATGGATCTACCACAGCTCATATTGAAGGCTTTGGACAAGCATAAGAAGAATGACTGTTTTTGGAAGCTTGTTTTGTCACTGCCAGAGGATGATTACGGTTGCCATGACAATAAGTTATTGATTGAGTGGATGGAGGCTAAGCTATCCCGTGGCAAATTGAAGGAAGAAGTGCATGATAAGGTAACCGTGATATGTTTGATAATGTGAGAATACATCCAAGCATGTCTATTCATGGGGAATATTGCATTAAATGATGTGTATTCTATTTAACTCAGACTGTCTCAGTGCATACTTTGCTCAATTCTCTTCATACATGTAACTATTGGTCTATTAGAAGATTTAAAGCATTTCTGCAATTGCACCTAGATAGGATTTGCTCCTCGTCATCGTTGAAATCTGCGTCTCATACATTTTAGTTTTTGCAATTTTGTGTGCTGTAAAGTGCGCCACATATGGTGGAATCAGGAAATGTTTTATTTTCTGTTTTATTTAGAGAATATTGTGTTGTTCCAAATCAACCTTTAATGCATTTATTCAAAAGTATTATTTAATAATTGTTAAACATTATATATTGTTTTTGTAGCATTAATTAATCTTAATGCAAACAAATTTAAAATTGCATCATCGCATCACTTTACATTTTCTCTAGGCTGAGAAGCTAAATCTTGTTTTCTTTTTTATTGGCATTATTTTCTGCTGTTTTCATGAAAATACCTCTTATTAATCATTTACATGAACACACTCACTACTAATAAAGAGCAATTATAATAACCTTTATACCTTTTTTGGTAACAAATTCAAAACAAATATGAAGTAATTAGTGAAAGTTATTATGTTACAAATTATGTGCCCAGTAAGTAGTATTGATTTTAGATGGCACTGCATGCACAAATCATGTAGGAAGGTAAACTGCTGTCTAGAATTTAAACATGCTAAACACTAAAAGGTTTGGGAGTTATAAACCTTAAATAAAGTATGTAACATTGCACTTAACTTATGATAACATTGTACAATGTTTTATTGTAGGTCAAAACACTAAGTTTATATACCAGTGTTAATAATGTCAACCATATGGAAAAGATCAGTGTGAGTGTGTGTACCAAGGTAGGATACTGCATTTAATAAAGATCAGTGTGAGTGTGTGTACCAAGGTAGGATACTGCATTTAATAAAGATCAGTGTGAGTGTGTGTACCAAGGTAGGATACTGCATTTAATAAAGATCAGTGTGAGTGTGTGTACCAAGGTAGGATACTGCATTTAATAAAGATCAGTGTGAGTGTGTGTACCAAGGTAGGATACTGCATTTAATAATCATGCGATAATTGTAAATTAAGAAGACTTTTTCAGACAATGTCTTGATTGTAATAAGCAGTGTGCTACTGTCAGCAGTTAAATCATTATCTCTGCTGTAACCTTGTGACACCTAAGTCTACTTTACTTTTGCATACAGGCAATCAAGGGTGACCTATCTGTCACTGGTAGTGTACATGTACTTGGTACATCTGGGATTATATTCACATTACCAAAGTTGCCGGAGGAAAAGAATCTACAGTTGGTTAGTATTTGCTGTTACAGTGGGCCATGCATTCATTGTTATGACTTTTACTATACTACCACAATGTCCTGTATTGTATTTATTATTATTTAACTGAATAAGGAATGAAAACATAATTTATATTTATTTGAAAAGAAAATGTTTTCAAAATCAAAAATGGGTCACTGAATCTGTGACATGCTTATTCATGGTTTGATGTTTTCTATACTATTACATGGAACACTTGAAAATGATTGTTCTATTGGATTATCATTAACCTTTTCACCAACAGACTTTCTTGCCCAAATTTGTCTAGCTTTTCTTTTTTATATTCTTCAAAATTCTTAGATTTTCTTATACCTTAATGAACCCTAATTTTGAAGCCAACAAACAAAATTGTAGTCAAGTTTTTACTAATAAATTTGGCTATTTTGTCCCAATCTTCTAAAGGAAAGTGCAGACTATGCATGGGGCTATTTTGTGAATTTTTGATAAAAAGAGGGAACTGGTGGTGAAAAGGTTGAGTGCAATGTCCCAATTTGAGAATGAGATTTAAAATATAACAAACTATGGTGTTATGATTTGTTGCAGGATTATTGGTTATTATGTAAATCTAGATTAGAAAGTCTACTGAAGAATAAACCCTGGATTCCATCCGTCCCAGTTGTTATTGTTTTACTGGATTGGACATCTACCTACAATATACAGTACCAGTGTGTTGAAGAGTTACACTTGAATGAACTCAAGGAATCTGGTTTGCTGTCTGTTTATAGTATTGTTAATTTGTCATCAGATATAATGGACATGGATAATGTACAACAGGTATGTGTAGTTATGAATATGACCATATGCATAATTCTATATTCCTGCAATGTGTATTTTCTTACTTTTGTTATGCCACAGTGATTTGCCCTGTCTTAAATCACTCTGGATTATTTACTAATTTTCTTTGGATTATTTTGTTCTGTGTTAACATTCTTTCTTGTCTGTTAATATGAATGTGTTGTTAGATTGCCAAATTAAAAAAAAAAGGTTTAACTTTAAGTATTTGGGACTTATTGGGGAGAGTAAAACATAATCTTTTCAATTATAAACAATCTTCAATGTTTTTGAAAAATAAAAAGGAAAGCATCACAAACCTATTTGCAAGTATACATGTATTACAGTTTTAATAGTTTCTTAGTAATACATGGGTGGTGTAAATTTGTTGGAGATATTACATTGAAATATTAACTTTGAAGTTAATTTTGACTGCAACATACATGCTGCGTTTACATGACAGAATTTTATCGAGCGCTATGACTCGAGCTACTAAAAATGGCCATGTAAACACATTCGGCCAAGTTTCGCTCTAATAAACCTTCATAGTTGAGCTCTGATAGCATTGGCCCCCAATATGGCTACGACAGTGTAAACACATTGGAGATAATCTCCTGTTAATCGATAGGAGGAGCAGTAGTTTTTCTCCCATAGAATCTGCCGTGTAAACACATTGGAGATAATCTCCTGTTAATCGGTAGGAGGAGCAGTAGTTTTTCTCCCATCGAATCTGCCGTGTAATCGCATTGGAGATAATCTCCTG